ATAGTAAATCGCCATATTGCGGCAGTTGATCTTATCTCTGCGGATGTTTCCTATATACACATTCATTTCATTTACTCTTTTCTTGAACTTTTTTTATATTTCTAGTTAGTATTTTAAGATTTTTAAAAAATTTTTGAAAAATGTGTTATTCTAAATCTAATAATTCTTCGAATTCGTCTTCGAATTCTTCAAATTCTTCAAATTCTTCGAATAATGTTGATCTGGCCGCTATCGACAATATTCTCAACAACATTTCTAGTGAGCTTGGCGAGGCAAGGCAACATTTGGAAGCCATTCACCTTCAAGTCGCAAGCTTGACCGACCGAGTTTCGCAAATAACTCGAGAGGTCGCAGCATTGCGAGCATCGGTTAAAACTTTTCTATTATTAAAAATTTTTTTCTATTCTAATATTCTTTAAATATTGGATTCACTTATCAACGTTTTAAAACATTTGGGCAGGGGTTAAAAGAACATAAGGGGAAAAGGGAAAGCATTAGTCGTCGCCCCGATACATAAGAGGTAGAGCACCTGTAAATGGGACCGAGCAAACACTGTTTCGAATCCTGTCCGGTGGCTAAACTTTTGCTAAACTCTTACTTTTTCACAGGCAGAACGAAGTGTAGCACGCAGACAAGCTACCCTTCAAGGCATGCTCAATTTTCGAAGGGAGCTCGCAGAATTTGATCGAACTAGAGATCAATTAGTAGTGCGGAGGACCGGATGTAAGAGTTAAAATATTAAAAATAAATTTCAAATATTTTCAGCGGGACGACGCTGCAAACCTTATGTAATCCGTCGTCCACCTGGTCCTCCTTTAGCACCCGGCGCTGATGGTTCAGCAGCAGCGGCTTGAAGAAGTGTTTGTGAGGAATTGGAATCTTTGGGGAATTTCTTGGGGTTTAGAGAGATTTTTGAGAGATTGATTGTATGAGGGGTTTTTTGAGGTTAATTGGTGAGATGTTGGTAATAGTTAAGTTTGTGTACGGGTTTTTCTTTCTTACTACAGTATGGTCAGATTTCGTTCTCCCTTTCTTCTAACACTACATATCTTCGGCTTTTAAAAACACAAAAACCTAAAAATCAGCTACCTTTAATGTCATGAATAGTTTTCTACCTTCACACTTATTGTATAAGCGTTGTCCAAAATCCTCAAGCCATCATTATAACTTAAACAAAGGTTTTCATGTAGATGAGAAGCTCTAAAAATTTTTAGTTCCCATCAAAAAAGGGAAAAGAAAGGGAAAATTCTCTCCAAAAAGAGGGTAACACAAACTTAACTATTACCAAGATGTTTCGAATTTTTGGGAGAAGACTTACTATTTGAGTTGATTATTGTTGTATTTTAAAAGATTGGATAGAGTACTTTTCGATTTTTCGTCATAATTTTAGAAAGTCTTAAAATAACATATTTTCTGAAACTATTAATCCAACTTTTTTCGTGCAAATCTTGTTAATTTTTCGTGCATACCTTGTTAATTTGCACTCTGAATAAAACTGTTGAAATTATTCTTATAAAATTTATTATGAAAAAGCTCAACCTATTATAAACTCGGTAATAGTTAAGTTTGTGTTTCCACTTTTTAAAGAATGTACGTAATGGTCAACCTTCTCATCAAAGTTTGTATTTTTTCTTGTAAATAACTTTTCAATCGAATGTCCAAAATCCTCAAACTATGGATAGAAATTGTTATCACCTACACTAAGATGAATCTAATAGTGGAAAAAAGTAATTCAATCTAATATTTGTTTACCATGTGCAATTAATTAATTAGCTAATTAATAAACCATTTTAAATAAATTTAATAAAACATTTTATTCGTTTTCAACCAAAAATTTTTCCCTTTGATTCTCTCCATGTTTAATAATTTTCCAAAATTTTTCTACCACTTTACATTCAAGTATTTTATTTTGATCCACAACACGGCTTCTTTTCTTCAATTGACAAAATAAATGACAATAAACTTATAAACAAACAAACACATTAAATGTCAAAAAATTTTTCTTGTTCTTTTAAAAGAATCGATTTAATTTATTTATTCAAATTTTTGTTTAAATAAAAGATTAAAAACAAGCATGCTCCGTGAGATGGAAAATGTATATTTTTTCGTTTGTAAGAAGATTTCTTAAGAAATTTCTTTACAAATTAAGGACAAATTTGTTAAGGAAAAATTGGTTACTTTCGAAATTTTCCTTAAAAATTTTGTAAAGCCTCATAAAAAGCTTTAAATTATTTAAAATAGAAAAATCAAAAAAATTTTAAATCTTTATCTTAGAAATAAAAATAAAAAATTTTTTAAATTTAATTTATTTTCTTCAAAATTTTCTTCCATGCTCATACATCCATAAACTCAAACAGAGCCATTCTTAATGTTTAATAATTTTAGTTTATTTTAAATTTAAAAAATTTTTAAATAAATAAATTATTTTAAAAATTTCCAAAATTTCACTTGTTTCTGTAGACGATATTTCAGCTTTTTTTCTTTATGTCTTCTCTTGTTCCTGGCATTGTGCTGCAAAAATTTTTATTAAATAATTTGGCAAAAAAATTTTTAAATTTTATATTGGGACCCCCGTGTTGGTACCCATCTTCCACCCCTAGGTGTGGTAACAGGCCTCCAACCATGTTGGTACCCATCTTCCACTCCTAGGAGTGGTAACAGGCCTCCAACCATGTTGGTACCCATCTTCCACTCCTAGGAGTGGTAACAGGCCTCCAACCATGTTGGTACCCATCTTCCACTCCTAGGAGTGGTAACAGGCCTCCAACCATGTTGGTACCCATCTTCCACTCCTAGGTGTGGTAACAGGCCTCCAACCTGGTTGGTACCCATCTTCCACTCCTAGGAGTGGTAACAGGCCTCCAACCTGTTTGGTACCCATCTTCCACTCTAGGAATGGTAACAGGCTTCCACACAAAATTAAATTTTATTTAAAAATTTTAAAACATAACTTGCCGACACCACCAACAAACTCAGCACCACTACCATCTTGTGCAGAAATTTGTTGTTGTTGACCATCATTACTCGTTGCAGGTCGAAGTACTTGCAACAATTGCTAAATTTATAACAAAGTTTAATTATTTTCTAATAATGGTTTAAAAATAATTTTATAGATTTTTAGTTACTGTTTTTTCACCCAAACCACTATTATTATTAGGTTCAATTGTTGTTGTTTGAGAGCTCTCTCTGTTTTGAAGAATTTCATTAAGTTGTTGACCGCAATGACTGCAATGATTCCTTTCTTCCTCTTGGATCAGAGGAATTTGAACTGGTGGAATCGTTGGTTTTGGTGAAATAACTACACTTTCATCTAGTGAAAATCGATTATAATTTGGTGGACGTTGCTCCTAAAAACATAAATAGTTAAACTTAGAAAGTAAATGAGCTTTAAGACAAAAATAAGATTTGTAGAAAGACAATTGGGATGGGAGATAGGAAAAAGTTTGACCATTCTGTAAAATTATAGGGTAAAAACTTGGGGAGGAAAAAAGGGGGTCTGTCACGTTCAATATTACCGCACATTCTCTATCGAATGAGCCCGGTCTCGACCGTTTTTAGGGTGGACACCTCGCAAACTCTCCTTGTAAGTATAGATACCCTCAGAGATTAAAAAATTCTACTAATAATGAAAATAAAAATTAGACAAAACCTCAATTGATGGAACCAAAGTAGCATCCGTTGTATCAACAATATTCGTAGAATCAATAGCAATCTGAAAAAATATTTTTGTAAAACTTTAAAGACGGAAAAAATAGTCGGGGAAAAACGTTTGTTTGAAGAGGCAAGACATTCTCGTTGACCTTTTCCAAACCAGGAGGAGGAGCAATTATCGCCTCTGGAAATAAAATTTAAAATATTTTTTATATAAAAAAACCAGTAGTAGTAGAGACAATAGCCAAATTAGCAGCAGCCGGCTTTGGTGATTGATGAGTACTTCCTCCATTGGTCAGAATAACACCCTCATTAAGAATTGGCTCAACACTAGTGGTAACAACAACATCCTTTTTAAATGACTGAGGTTAAAATCATTTTAAAAATTCAATAAAACCTCCGAAACTTCTTCCTGTTGTTTGTTCAACAGGGATGAATCAAATTCGGCGTCAACTGAGAATGAATAAAACTTTAAATGGTTTAATATAAAAACACTCACGTTCTTCTACACTCCCATATGTTCTTTTCTTTTTTTTAGATAAACGGATCTTCAGAGGTCCAACGTTCTTTATTTTATATAATTGACTGGACCTAGATACAGCAGGCGATTTCAACTAGAATTTATGGGTACAGCTCAAGTAGGCGCGCGGCCATAACCTCGAAAGCCATAACTTGCTTGACCGTATATGAAAGGACCAAAACTCGGTCCATTTTATAGACCAAAACTCGGTCCATTTTATTTGGGGTCTTTTTGGACGAGTGCTGTTAACTTTGATTTTTTGTTCTGTTGTCAGGCTAACTAACGGGACGGAAAAACAACAACAGACAAATTGCACCTAGTTTTGGTAAGACCGAATTTTGCCACTCAACCAACAAAATAAGCAGAGAAAAAAATATTTTTTACACAATTTTGCCTTATGACAAACATCAAATACTAAGGAAAATTGACCCCATTCCGAGGTAAGGAAAATGTAAGGAAAAATGCGATCCGGGCACTCCTTTCAGATACAGCCACTTGCTTCATGTTTTCCGAATCTTACCGAATCTAGTATTAAACGATTCCTCTCATCGGGCTAATGAGATTGGTACCAAAATTAATAAGGGTCAGAAAATTTCCACCAAGTTATGGATTTGCGTCGTTATGGCAACGCGTCTACTTGTTTGTCCCAGAATTTTCCTATCTGGTATATTATTATTATTAAAATTACCATTTTTTGTATACTGAGCCGTGCGCGAAACGCGCAGTTTCGCATCGGACGACCCAATATTTTCTCAAAAAAATTCACTCTATCATAAATTGACTCAACATAATCGTCATTGTTATTCAAAAATTTAAATAATTTTATATTTCAATAAAAATTTTTACAAACTTCAACCTGCATCTTCCTATAGATTTCCTTTGCTGTATCAATAAAAGCTTTTTCAACATTAGCTACCGTTTTTGCTGAAGTCTCCATAAAGACCAAACCATTTTCACGTGCAAATGATTCACCCTCTTTACGTTTAACCTCACGGCTTGATTTAAGATCACTTTAAAAGAAAAGTTAATTTTAGCCAATGCCTTTTAAGCAAATACCTTTTATTACCAATCAACATAATAACCACATTAGAATTCGAATTATTTCGTGCATTTTTTAAATAAGATGTTAAATGATTAAAAGTGTCACGTCTATATTTTATTAAATTTTAAAATAAAATGAAAATATTTCTACCGGGTTATGTCATAAACAAGCAAAACACCAGCAGCTCCTTGATAGTAAGAACGAGTAATTGGACGAAATGATTCTTGATCTATAATTTATAGATTAATTGGTAATTTTGAATTTCGTATCCCCCCTCTTTTCTCTTTCTCAAGGTGTTAAAATGGTCAGAGTCTTAGGTTATAAACTAATTGAGCTGAGTCGAATGAGCTCCATTTGTATAAACTCTCGACCCTATGGTTTTTCGCCCCTATGTTTTACTATTTATGGTGTCAGTATCTTGATCAAACCAATTAATTTAGGGTAAAAATAAATGTTATCCTTTTATGATTTAATCATAAACATTTAGAAGAACCAATAATTAAATAAAAACAAACCATCAGTGTCCCAGATTTGTAATTTAATTTGTTTTCCATAAATAGTAATCTTTCTTACTCCAAATTGTAGACCATTTTCAGAATCATGAGTTGGTGTGAAACATTTTTCAGTAAATTGAGAAAATATACATGACTTTCCAACACCTTAAATTTAAAGCTTAATTGATATATTTGTTTCAAAAAAAAACCTGTGTCCCCAAGAATTATATATTTAAATAAGTAATACATTTGTTTATTCTACGTATAAATTAAATATATTTATATTAGAAAACCTTAATATGAATAAATTAGAAATATAAAATTTTAATAAACAATCAAAAAAAACATCTAAAAATTTAGAATAAAGTGAAAGAAGGTAAAGGAAATAAGTAAAAATAAAAGAAGGAAAATGAAAAGCGACGCCTAAATCAATAATCTTTGTGAGAATGTAGTGTTTGAGAGGATTATTAAAAAAGAAAGAGAAAATAATTGAGGGAGAGAGAGAGAAAGAAGGAAGAGAAAAGCCATTATTTTTCCAAACCAAAAATCTCTAATTTCATAACGTCTAAATTCAATTGGGTAAATGATGTGAAGAAGAAAAAAAGGAAGGGTGGTTTTTTTACACCCCATAAAAGATAAAATAATTGTTTATTCGGGATATACTTAATACGAATTTAAAACAAGAGGAATTGAGAAAAATAGAAAATTAAATACAGTTAGTCGATAAATAAGTTTTATTTAATGGAAACAATTAATAGAAGTTAGTGAACCAATTAATAAGTAGGTGAACGAACCAATTAATCCTTTCAAAAAACAAGTAGTCAATTAATAGTACTGAAACAATTAGTCAATTAATTATCAGGATTTTTGGGGGACCCTTTTGTCGGCGGGTCCTTTTGAGGGCGGGAGGACTTTGAGTAACAAACTTGGTTCACTAACTACTATTTGAGACTTAAAGAAACAGAATATAACATGTCCTCCTAAAGCGATAAAGTTCAAATCTGCCTTATTAGTTTAGGACATAAGATTTGAGACTACTATATTACCATTATTAAAGTATTGATCGATTAGAACAAGAGGGCTCTGAAGAGACCGATTATTTGGTTAGAGAAGTCAGAGAAAAAATTTACTCTCTTCCCATATAACCGGTCTCTTCAGGCTCTCTTGTTCTAATCGATCAATACTTTGTTAACCCACTCCTATAGGAGGTTGTGGGGGTTGAATGGAGTAGTGCGGGGGATAAGTAAGGTGAGGGCGATTCTGAAGCGATTCTGAGGGCGATTCTGAAGCGATTCTGAGGGCGATTCTGAAGCGATTCTGAGGGCGATGCCGAAGCGATTCTGAGGGCGATTCTGAAGTGGTTCTGAAGCGATTCTGCAGCGATTCTGAAGGGAAACTGAAGCGATTCTGAAAGGATTCTGAGGCGATTCTGAAGGCGATTCCGAAGTCGATGCTGGGTGATCAAAAGTATTGCATCAGAATCCAAAAGGTATCAAATATGGCCTGAGGAAATTCTTGACACGCGGGTGGCTGTAGCCTGAAGCGGGGGCCGTGTCGAGTCGGGCCGGCGGGCAATCAATCGATAATTTTATGTCCAGTTCTTTTGGCACTCGAACTACCCGCACTCAACTGGTAACAATTATTTTCATAGCCTTTTACTAGAGCCAATTCAGTGCTAGTTTAATGCGCTAGGCAACCCGCTCAATTGGTAATGAAAAGTGTGTTTTAGTTCGACACAAGCTCTCTAATGGTATCTCGCTAATATTTTTTGCAATGTTGGATTCTTCAGCAGAAGTTATGAATCCTAATTTACGCAGAACTCGAAGGAGTAAGATCCAACATATTAAAATCATAGGGAGAATAATGGAATGTAGCAATAGCAATAATGGTATCCCATAAGCTACAGTGGGATCCAAAGCATTATCTTGCAAAGTTGTGCTAGCAATTTTTAAAAATTCGAATGTAATATTCTGTGTAGTAGTGGAAATATTTTGCATGTCAAAAAAGTAATACATTTTAAATTATCATTATTTATACAATTATTTCAACCTAGATTGGAATCCGTAACTATGTGCCGATTGTAATCAATCATAATCATTTGATCAAATTCTCCTAAAATAATCATTTCAACACCTCCAGCAGGAATGGGAGTATTAAATTCTAAACGAACACTAGTAGTTCCACTTTTGAGAAGCTCAAAACCACAAGAGTCATCAAGTGTCGATGTCAAAGGTATCACAAAAAAGGTCCATCCATCTTTAAATCGGGACATTGAAATATCAATGGAACGATCTGAATTAGCCATTCCAAGAGCTTCATACATGTCCACAAAAGCTCTAACAAACAAGTCTTGAGCAAACTTTAGCTTGTAAGCGACCATAGGATAAATATGCCCCCCAGTATGAACAGAGATGTCCCTAATATCGAATGGTTTGAAATTGAATGGGGAAAGCGCAATATCACCATTAAAGGCCTTATTTGAAACTAAGGCGACTGTAATGCGCCGCGGTATAGCCGAGCTGAAGGCATTATACTCAATTTCAGTTCGCCCTGAAGTAAGATAAGTAGATTTCATTTCAGTTCGGCGAACAGCATAAGTAGCAGGTTTAGATTCAAGTGTCTTATAAATGTTCATATTAAGTGATGGTTGCACTTCAACCATTTTCGAAAATAATTTAACGTCGTGAACATAAAGTCTATATTGATTATTATCGCCTTCTTTGATATTTTGTAATATAAACGCATCCTTACTTTTGTAAATGCTAAAGTGAATATCTAAATTATTAAGGAGAAATAATTCTTGATTTCCCAAATCAAAATCTAGGCGTGAAAGGAATTGTGAGCGTTTACCGTTTGCAAAAATAGAGCAACGATTTTTGAAACCGTCATCTGTAGGATCATCATGTTTTTCGGTTCTATAATATCCAATAGACGCAAGAAAATGCGATTTAACGTTGTCGGGAAATGACAACTCATTAGTAATATATGCTTTGTAAGGATAAAGAGTACCACTATCGTAAACCTCTGTATTACCAACAGTCACCTTCAACTGTTGAACAAATGTTTGACCAATACCTTGAATCGATCCAATGCTATTATCGGTTGCTTCAATATCTACCCATTTACCAGTAGCTCCCAACTTTTCAATTGATAGCTCGAGGTAAAGATATGTTCGGGACAAGTCAGTCCAAAGATTATCACTGAACAATCGAAACAAATATGGGGAATCTTGTGTTATTGTACTAAGAGGTAGAATTTCTCTAAAAAAGGACCGGACAACAGAAACGTTTGTAGGAGGTACAGAAAAAATACTTAATGCACTATTCAGTGCCAACGGACTGTTTTCATTAATTTGTTTTGGGCAGCTCATTTTAGTATGTTCCTAACGTATCTACTCGTAATCGTTTTTGGGGACGGGATTTTTTGGTAGATTTTTTAGAATATTTTTTTTGAAATTGGGAATAAAATTTGGAGGACCGATTCGAGAATATGGATGTTTATTTATAGTTTTTGGTTTAAGATCCGGTATTGCGTCATTCATTTGTCCAATGGCAGGAGACTTTTCTATATTTTTGTATCGTTTAAAATCAAAACCTTTTCCACTTTGTTTATCAACATTTTCAGCTGCTTTTTGCAGTAATTTTTTCAAGCCTGATTTACCTTCAGTTACAAGAGATTCTTTAAGATTTTTTCCTTCTAAGACATTGCTTAAAACTCGATTACCGGATTCTAGACCCTGTCTTCCAATAGCGCTACCAATTTCTTTACCAATCGGGATTAAATAACGAAGAAAACTTCTAAACACTGACCCCAATCCATTACCTCTTTGGTAAGGAACGCCACGAAAAACATTATAGCCGCCCCATTGATTGGGGTTTTCAGTTAATGTTGACCAGTTTATATTTGCAGGATCAAAATCAATGTGCATTTTTATGTTAAAAGTATATTATTAAAGCCACTATTTATATTAAATATCTGAGTAGTAATAAACTCAGATACAAATTTATCAGCATTAATTCCTTTTAGTAATGAAATGATTTTATTCATTGAAAAACCTAAGCAGCGCATATAAAGAAAAAAGATAACATGATTCCCGCATGTACTAGAAAATGGTTGTTGTACCATAACAGAATTAAATTGAACATTGTTAAACTTATCTAAATAGGTTCTAATATGATAACTTATCGGTGGCCAGATACCTAACGAGTCATAGTATTCAATACTATTAGTTGAATTGCAAAATAATGCTATCCAATGGGTTCCAGATAAATTGCTAGGATCTGTGTTAACTACGACACAGAACGGAAAAAAGTTACTCCTATAAGGAATACAGTCTGAAGCAAAACATCCTACATAAAATCTTTTTGTAACAATATTTCTTTTTAATATTTTATCAATTTGAAGGTTATTCATTGTTAAAAGTATGTAGCTTTTTTAAAATGTAAAGTTAATGTACATGTTCCATATTGGAACGGCATCAATGTCCCACCAGAAGTTCTAATTTCAATAAAAATTTCAGAAATTTCTTTTACAAGTAGTTTATGGTATTGAACACATAAAAATTGTTCTTCAATTATTTCATCTTGTTTACCTCTAATTGTTACAATTCTAAGTACTGGTGCTGTCACATCGCCTATAACCATTGGTTCAATTAATCCAGGTGCATAAACATGGAAGCAGGACACACCTCCTCGCATATCAGGCATAAAATTTGCAATACAAGTTTCAGTTAAAATTTGCCGATCAAACCCTAAGATATATGCAAGCTGCTCAGTTAATTCAATTTTTTCTACATATTCACTATCGATATGCAAGGAAAATCTATTTTTATAACTGTGGAATTCAAAATTGCATGCTAATCTAGGTTTACGAAATACTCTTATCCAAGGGTCGAATCCAACTTCGTTAGTTACCGAAATAATTTGTTTGAAATCAGAAGTCATTTTTAAATTTTCGATATTCACCAAATCAGTAAAAATTTCATCTTCACTTTTTAAACTAGGAACTTCAGTATCTTCACTAATAATTACGTGTTCTTCTGAAGTCACGTTAGATACTGGTTCGGTCCTTTTCTGAGAGAGCTCTTTTAATCGTTTATACTTATCTTTAGCCTGGGTGCGAAGTTCTTTTAATTTGTTTGTATATTCAATATGAAAGCTACGAAATTTTTCAACAAGTGCTTCACTTCCTTTGTTTAAGGATCTATCCAAATTATCTTTTAAATGTTGGGGATTAGTTAAGGTATTGGA